CAAAATAGGCAAACCATATGATACGGCATAATTAGCATAAAGACATCAAAATATAAAGAAAAGCTTTCGCTGTTATCGTCGTTGTGAAATAAAGTCTTACTAACATTAAATTTGTAGTCACATCATCGAAATAAAGTCTTGCGCACCAATAAAGGAATACGTTACGCATTGAATAAAGAAAGAAACGTTGGTTTTACATAACATTTCGAAAGTCAATACCTTTGTAGTAACTTCGTAATCGTGTCCGTTCTGTATTTAATTAATCCAGTTTTTGTAGTATCTTTGTGACTTTGTTCTTGTATTAGAAATTCGCGTTCTTTATCAAATGTCATTGTGTTCGTGCTGCGTGCAAAGTAATAAAATTATTATAAAAGGGCTCAGTTTTCGAAATGCTAAACACATTAAATTATTCCGTTATTTGAATTGTTCTGTTAACAAAGTTGAAAGATTACTATTAATCGAACAGCTGAACGCACGAATCCAATTATATCCTATAATCGCACCTAAACACTGATTATTGAACAATGGCTTCTTCAGACCAAACAGCTAGCATTTTCGACAATATTCAAAGCAAACTGTGCTCTCGATGTGCAACGCGCAAGACGCTGGGAGAATTTGTCCGGTTCCATGGAAGCCGAGAGAAAGAGTTCGCTATATGTAACAGTTGTTCACAAAAGAAAAAGGGAAAAAGACCTTTGAAATCTAATGAAGACGATGAGACCCGACCCGAAAATGCTCTTGATGAAAACAGCGAGCTGGAAGAAGACATCAATAATAATGAAGACGATGTTATATACGAATTAGCTGAATTAGAAGAAATATTTGCTAGATATTTTACGAACATCGAAGAAACCACAGAAGTAAATTTCTCAAAAACGTTCGAACTTGAAGATGAATTAATCGATAATTTCAATGCCGATGGCGATACTACGGAAGAAGACAAATTCCGTAACATAATCTGTTTTTTCCTCTTACCGATTGAAGCTGAATCTCGCTATTATTGGGAGATTAGAAAACTTTATTGTCATCAAAATAATACTGGTCAAGCAACAGTATATCTTGGCTGCGCTCAAAGAATGGATCGAAAATCTACGCGTCCGGAAAGTCGACCGACGAAGAGAATAAGCGAAGCAAGACCTCCGATCGAAAGATATTCGTGTAAGGGAAAGATTACGATTACTATTGATATCAACATACGTCAAGCAAAAGTTAAGATCAAACATTTGATTTCTCATAAACGTCCAACGTACCGTGAAAGTAATTTACCCGAAAATGCCATAACATGGATATTCAATAATCTCAATCGAAATATCAGAAAAGTCGACATTTACAAAAGGCTTTGTGAAGAAGGACTTGTTGATTCGACAATACACACCTATCGTCAAGTGTATTATTGGGCTTCAAAATTTTCCGCTCAACAATATGTTTCCAACGCCTCCAATCAACTCATATCGTCTCTAAATTTTTTAAAGCAAAATGAATTAATTGACGAGGGATACAAAGTAATGCTATATGTCGAAAACGATTTTGTGCGCGCGCTTGGATTTCTTACACCATTTAATGGTCAAATTCGGAGAGAGGATATTAATGAAATTGTGATAGATTCTACCTTCAAGACCAATCAAGAAAAGTTTGAACTATTTACAGTGATAGTAAACTGGGGTGGTTATGGAGTTCCACTTGCATATCTATATGTTGATACGTTCACAGCTCC